ACCCAGCAAGGCCGTAGGAACCGTACTGGCCACTTCTGTCCTTCGGCCCACGTCATCATACGCCTCTGGCCTACGATAGATGGCCCGACCAACTGATTTTGGCTTTCTACAGCCTTGCCCAGTGGTCTATATATTGGTGCAACAAAATTTGACAGACACGCATATACAGGGGGGGGGGGGGTAATCGGTGTGACACCTCCCGTTTGTGTGTCCAAAAGTAAAGATTAACAATTCACTCAAAATGTACATGGTCGTGTGTTTTAGTTACTGAAGGATGATATTAAAGTCAGTAATATGAACAGCTCCACTGTTTCATCTTTGTTTACAGCGGAGCGAACATTCCAAAACAAAATGATTTTTCATAATGTAAAACCTATTTTTGACAGCAACTTGCAGTTTCTGTTCAGGGAAAATACTGATAATCTCTAATGCACATGCATTCTGAATCTAGTTATATGTACGCCTAACTTTGTGTGTTTTTTAAATAAATACATGTACGTCTTATGCTTGAAAAAAAAAAACGTTATTTGTATTAAAATGCTCAAAAAGTTATTGTCAGATAAAATTACACTAAATAATAAAAAACAGTCGATGTTTTCCACGAGTCATGTACATGACTTCAGTCCACTAGTCAGAGATGGCAGTCAATGATTTAAATAAGTCAACATTTTTTAAATCCACAAATACTGTTCAAATCATGGTTGATTGCAAGACGACGGTGACCGTCACATTGGTTCACATACAAGAACCATATAAGATCAGATGCGAAGGATTGTGGTATAGATCAAAGGTGAATCCGATTTTGTGGATGAAGATGAATGTGCCCTGCCAAAGCTGTGACGATTATGTTGTAACGTGGCAGACAATTCCTGTGCGCCGGAGTTCATGGCATTATTTAGTATATGCAATCAGTAGATTGTATCTAAACGGTAGTTAAAAGCGACCTCATGTGAACCGAGTGCAACTATTGAGAGATGTTGGGGAAGGGGGGGGGGGCAACCCTACTTCAGGGTTAGATTATAATTGTTGATCTAATTTTACAAACTTTGAATTCAGACAAATCTTGGCCTTGCCCTTAAACGTCCCAACTTGTATACAATGGATTTACAACAAGGCGTTCAAAACATTACTAATCAGCCTACAATAAACACCTCCGACAACTACACAAATTACTGATTGTACGCCAAATTTACGATTACTCGCGCACATGTCACAGCCATTATTCTTTCAACTGGAGGCGTTAATTAGTTTGCATAGTGAACAGGTTTCTATTTCAACTAAATACTGAATAATTCTGCCCACTAGAATTTACATAAACCTTTAATCTTCTTACATAGTATATTCAAGAAATACACACATTTGAAAAGTAAACCGTCATTGAACACAGAAATTTTTAAAAATTCTAGATGTTATTCAGTTTTAGGAGAAAAAGCACTGAAACAATACATGCATATCAGTTTTAAAAACTGTTCAAAACAAGGAATTTTCGGTGATATAGTCCTTGGTTCAATCAAAGGGGCAAAATGTATGAAATTTTGTTTATCTAGTCAAGTCAATGTAAAAGTACATGGAGCTGGCAGGATAAGTGATGTACAAGATATATGGCTATGTATTAATTTAAACAAGATGGCCGCCAGTCAGCCATTTGGATGGTGACGAAAATGTATATGCTTTTGTCAGACGTGTTGGACACACAAAATTTGAAATATGGTAAATCCATTCATTTTCATAGACATTTAATTTTACTTTTTTGAGCATATTCACGTTTTAATTTCCACAAATTTATTGAAGAAACAAGAGTTTTATTGCTATTTGACATGTTCACATAGATTTAATTTAGAAGACTTTACCAATTGACAAAATTAAAACCCATTGAATAATTCGTGTGTTTACAGTAAATAGGTCCAGGATCGTCCAAAATGTAAATCAGGAACTGCATTCTTCGTAACAAAAAGACCACGAGTCAGCCATTTTGAACTTAACCATAAAGATGAAACTATCTGCGGCCACATGTAAGGTTTTGGCGATCCACTCCACTAGGATTGCCCTTAAAATCACTTTTGTGCGTGCATGTCTAATTTCCAGTGTTAGCTTCGCACCAAAAATGAATCTCCCACAAATTTTGGAATACAAAGCTTGAGTATGTGCACGAAGTTACTATTTGAATTTTGATATTTTTTCATTACCGAGAAATTTGACCCCAAGGCAAAATTAATTTTGGGCTACCAGTGTAGTTCTGAAGACATGCAACATGTTCATTTGCTTGTTCAGGCATGTAGTTAGGTTGAATTTGTTTTTTTTCTAGACTACAAAACTATACGAATAACAGTTTGCTTCCAAGCAACGAATCATTTTGACACTGATAATAGGGTGAACCGGCCACAATTTCATTACACAAATGCTAAACAAGCAGCCTGTCAACTAATATAGCTCCATTGTATACATTATACACAGTAGAAAATAGCACATTTTACTAAAATAAAAAAAAATTCACTGAATTTAGAGAATTGTCATAATTTAAGAGGTCAACAATCTGAGAGCTCAACCTAAGTTTTCTACATATAAAATAAGCAATTGGAATAGACAATCTCAAGAAGTCATTTTACAACAACATTAATCAAAATAGAGAATTTAAGGTTTCAACACAAAATTTACTAATCTGAGAATTTCTAGGCACATATATACCAAGTATCAAAGCAAGTGGGTTTGCACTTTGAGAAGTTTAAAATATAAAGTTGACAAAATATGCATCTTATAAAGACCTTTTACTCTACCCACAACAAAATGTTCCTCCTACATCAGGGGCAATTCACTTGCATGTTTCATCAGACTTAATATCCCAGAAGAGTTCTTGTTTGAGGGCTTTATTCAATCTGCATATACTTTTTTTTTTATCAGTGAAGGCTAGTTTCCACATTTACTTTGGGTTTACAGCTCGCAAGTACAACAAATCAGCAAAATGGCAACTTGTTACACCACTTCATTTCTAATCTTTACAATTTGAGTTGTAGTGACGCACCATCACCAAAACATTGAAATAAATATACCTAAATAACCAGTGATTTTTTTTCTTAAGGATTACCAAGCTCATATGGCTGTGAATATAAGGTTATTACGAAGATACCTCAAAAGTATGCACGAAGACAGTACAGCGGCAGTATCAACCGACGCGCAGGTCGATGTAACGGCATACTGTCCGAGTGCATACTTTGAGGTATCCTCGAAATAACCTCATTATTATACATCTTTTTCCTTTCAGGGATACATCATGGGAATATCGAAATCCAAAAAGTTTAGAACAGAATAAAACCCGGGTGGCAGTGATGTCTGTTTTTATTATTAGGACGATTATGCGCATAACCATTCCATATTTGGAATTCGCATTTTTTTTATATGGTAGGATGAAAATACCCTGTAAAATACCACAAAATTACGGCACGCTGTAACCTAAGGCGTTACGATGACACATGTATAATAATAGATATTTGTTCAAATATCAGAATAATATTTCGGAGAATGCATCGATTATTCTACGGTAATAATAGTTTCTATCTGTAAATTTTTTCAAAAACTTGGAGCCAGCTAAAACAATTTTAACTTTCATTCATTGCTGACCATGGTTTTTGTATGGAGAATGTAAACTGCTACTGTAAATCTCGTATAACTTGCCAACAGCAACTACTTGTAGCCAGACTGCTATTCAGCCAAAATTTCTCATTGGCAATTGTATGCTCTGTCATGACTTCCCAATTTAAAACTATTGTGGGTAGAATCCTGTACACCAGGCAGGAGGCCAGGGCCACGTAATTTCTTAACCAAGATTCTACCCACAACAGTGAGCATACAATTACCTACACCTATTATATTAATAACACCACAACTAGTTAGCAGTTCATCTGTGCCAACATCCTCATCCAGTCTTGACATGGAGCCATGGATCATCCGGTAATACTTTTCCTGGAAAAACACTTAAAAGTATTAAAACAGAGGTGTGGGAGTGTTCAGGGGGTGGGGAAAGACAACACACAATGCAGAATGGGTGTGATCAAATGGGAATCTGACATTACAGCAAGGGTAAATAACTATTTTGTTACGAGTTATGATTTTCCACCAAAAAAAATTGAGAGCATTCTGCCGTGAAGATGAAACTGTAGTTTGATTCAGTAATACATATACAAATCATTGCTGTGCTCAGAGCACCACACTCTGCTTAGACCAGTTTCTGTAGGCAAAACAGTACAACACAACTAGTCTTTGGCCTTGTGACTGTTTTACTGAGAATTGTTAATCACTTGAACACAAGAAATTTGAAATTACATTTGTACCACGAGTAGAAAAGTTGTGATGCACATTTAGAGTTCAGAAAGGTGCAAAGCATTAGCATTACAATTAACAATTAGTGTATTTGTTTTATTAAAAATGCATATACTGAGCTCAATCAGTACAGATACAACCAAGGACAAAATAGCGGTCAGTTTGCGCTATGCAACACTTATTTGTATTCAGGTACTTACTGTCATGAATAATTTCAATGACAGCTATTTTCTAATATCAGGATTTTGTAGGATTGTATTGTGCAAGGCATCGACACTGATACCACTAACAATGCAACACAAGCATGACATGCATTTTCTGCAGCCAACACTTACAAAAGCAAATGGTAAATACTTTACCTGAAAAAACATTGTGGATGAAATTTATTTATTCTTTCAGAGACAATAAATTGCAAGTGAAAATTTAGTATTTGGTCCTTGGGTGTAAGAGAAATTATTGGCTTACCATGCACTTTTAAGAGAACAGTAACACAGTGTGATTTTACTCAAACCAAGTGAAAGTTTCAGACTTCACAGCAGATTTTTTGAAACTATACATTCTGAAACCTAAAATACAACTTGTGAGCATATAAAATAAATGCCTTGGCCAAGGATTGCAAAGTCCCAGATAAAAACATCACCCAATCTGCAACATGTGTACCTGGGTAAAAAATAAACAATATTATGATTTGTAAGCAGTACTTTTTTTTTAATAGTCCACACAAAAAATACAACAAATAGAATCATTACTGATAACTGACTTCTTTATAAATGCATCACGTTCTTCTTTGCCTGTACGGCACACATCTATATATTTCTGGATATACATTTGCTCAATCTAAATCATTGTTCCCAATGCACTGATGCGAAATACACAAAATATCACAGTATGCAGGCTGCATGTCTTAAACCATAACTTAATTCTGCCATAAGAATATCCACAATTCTGTGGATGTACCGGTACTTCTAATACTAACCATATATGCCTGCTAAGGAATCTCTACAAACCACAAACCTGGAATTATACATCATTGACACTACCTGAATACTACCTGACCTCAATACCTCTCTCCCTTTGCTTGCTGGAATAATGTCCCCTTCTAAGTAGATTTCCTGACGTAACTGTCACAAGCCAGTTGAAATCTTCATTGAAGAGCATGGAGGAAAAAAGGTTAAGTGTGAGACTGGTGTACCAAAAAAGTTTAACAGATCTAAATAAAGTACTGATATATTTTTAATTGATAAAAACTATAAATATATTTATAAAACTTTGTGATTCAAATGTAGCAGTAAATGTACAAAATATTTATTTTATACTGGTCATCAAAATACCACTTATATTGACCAGACACTCATTTTTTAAAGTACATGCAGCGCTTCTAATAGAGCAAATGCGGTAACTATCTGGTAAATATTTTGTACATAGTACTATAAAATTTGTATTAGAAACCGCAGCTTCTATTAAAATAGTAGAATGAAACAGGGGATGCAGCATCCACACATACAAGAAATGGTGAATTTTTTTGTTCCCAATTGTTAAAAATTGTAAGAATGTGTGCCCTTCTATTTGGGATACGGCTTCTACTATAGATTTTACGGTAGTAGTTGTACTACAGCAAGGGCAGAGAAATACAGGTCTTTTTTTTCTAAGCAAAAATAGTGACTGCTAAAAATGAGTGAACTATGAATGCCATATTTGCTGTATTAGAAACACGTATATACATTTGTACAAATCACTAATATCACTTATTTTGATAGAAACTCTTCCAATTTTTTAAGTGCTAGTAATTGAGTGAATTGTTTAAAGTAACAAAAATTTCACAAAGATCAGACCAGAAACTTTTTTTAATTTGAAACATGTCATTATCAATATTTGTGCTGATGAAAATACAACAAATTCTGACCAAACACACACAGTACTACTCTTATCCAAAACTCTCCAACGTTTCAGACATGCAATGATGCAGTACTGGCTATGTGTCAAAGTCAGAAAATGTAAAACTTGAGATTACCTTACCGAAACTAAACTCATCTGCAGCAACATCCACTCTGGATAGACATCGATATATGAATATAACACTTATTCTCTGGGTACTGCTGAACTTAGTAAAACAGTCTTAATCTCTGAAATGGAAATTAACTGGGCAGTCAACATTATCCTTAACAAAAAAACATTGTCAGACCACAAAATTCAAATATTTTTTACTTTTCATATTTTCCAAACAAAAAATAAACTTATGGAGTTCATAAACCATTTGTTCTTGTCACACCGTTCATTGTCAGCCATGAACACCTTACCACCTTTTACGTACAGCCAACAAGATACTACCAGAAATAAACCAACGGCATTCTACCAAGCCAGTTTATCACTTCATAACATCGACTGTATAATTATTGGTGCCATAAAATCAAGTTCTAATAATGGCTCAATCATTATGTTTATAGTGATCCGTGATTCATTCACGATGTCAAAGATCCACAGGCCATGCTGGCACATTTGGAACAGAATTCTAATGAGACGTCCTGGCCAGTAACGTGAAGACACATTCCCCCAGTGGTAGAAGATGACGTTTTCCTTCGCTTAGAGCTGGGCTCGGTAATTTTCCTCGCATCGAACGATGACGTTAATCTAATGTCAGTTTTCCCAATGTTCTTGATAAGTTTTGCGAGCGAGCTCTGATGTGCCAATACACTCTTCAAATACGTTACCTCTTCCTCCAAACAAATTGTTTTATTTACAAGTTCATTATTTTCCGCTTTCAACGACTTATTCTCGGCAGACAGTTCCAGATTTTTTTTCTCTAGGCCTGCAACATAATTTTTCTTCTTTTGACGGTTTTCCCTGGCAGCTATTGCGTTTTTTCTGTTGCGCTCGGCAAGTGAATCTTCCATATTGGAAAAAGTTCTCTTTTTGTTCGTGATAACAGTCGTTGGAATGGAACACGTGGTTTTATTCTCATCCTTACGTTGGTTGTCCTTTACTAGAAAGTTCAACAAATCCAGGTCGTCATCTTCCGATATTAACGGGTGATCTGGAGAAATACTGGCGTTAGATCCTAACTCGCTGAACAAGTCTTCCTCCATGCTGACTGGACTGCTTACAAAACTTGAACAGTCGGAATCTTGGGTCACTGTGCTGAGATATGGCTGATCAAATGTCACGTCTTCGGACAGCCCTTCGACCTCGTCTAAAAGACAAGGAATATCGCACGGCGTGAGTACATCGATCGACATTGTGCTTCACAAATGGTTATATACGCTGATAATATTTCAATTTCGCCCTACCTTTTGCCTAAGAAGCACCGTGAGCTGACTTTCACACCCTACCGCGACGAAACTATTTAGCAGAATGGCGAGATAATTCGTTACTTTACGTAGATACATGTCAGTGATTGGATAGTAGTAGTCACGTGGTTCCAAAGCCACGATGTGATTCGTGTATAAAAATAGCTCGAAAACGTAATCGTTTCCCGCTATAACGTCGTTGCAACGTCAGCCTCTTCATACAACAATGGGCATTTGTGTGTTTACGCCAAAGTGTAAAAAAAAAACACCAAAATAAAAAGCCAAATGTGGAAAAGATACCAGTGAAGGCGCATTAAAACTGTTTGCATTTAATGGTATTAATATATTACCTATTTATAAACTATGAAGTTATCCTAATATTTTTTGTTCAAATCGAAAGTAGTTTTTAGTATGCGGATGACTCTGATTTGTGTTTTTGCGTTAGATTGAAAAAAAAAATGCTGACGCGACAGTGGACGAGCGCCACCTGTGGCGACATCGTTTTATAGCATTTTTTTTCGATTTTAATACTTTATCTACTTTCGATACTGGGAATCGTTTTATTTTTGTTTTGTCTTCAGAACCAAGGTCAAATATTTTGAATAATATCAAACATAAACAGAGATTTGTTATGCATATTCTCAATACAATCAGGTTGATCTCAGACAACTAATAATTATTTATTAGTTGTCTGAGTGTTGATGAACCACCATGTATACCTCATTCAATAATAAATTACCAGTAGCGTTGACATCTGCAAAAAGGTTGTTTTTCTTCTTTTTTTCTAGTTTGTTATAATTTTAAACTATGAACCACATGGAGTACTGTGTAATTAATTCATATACAATGTATGTTAACATAGCTAACAGTGCATTTCATAAAGGGATAAATTTGTTTTACATTAATAAAACATTTATCCCACAAGATCCTTCAATTAAAATCAAAATATACTTCCATATGCTATAGAAGCCATTTGGTATTGACAGATTTATGGCCATGCATCTTAAACTTGTGGTGATTAGACCTGGTCTAGTGTTTCTCAACCATCATTTATAAATATAAAAGCAAAATTAATTCATACCTTTTATGCCCTTTACTGATTGAAACTTAGAATGAAGTACAAAACTGGGTTAAAGCGGGGAGTTGTCACCTGTGCATGCATCAGATGGCCATAGCCTGTCATTGTTTACAAACAAACCCATGAGCATTTGCATTTTTAGCGAGTGTTATTGTCGTCAGGAACTCAATTCCTGCGCGTGCACAGGTAACGACCCTCCGTTTTACCTAACATCTCCTAACTTACATGGCATGTGGTGCATTATTTGCCACATTACAAAAAGTTGAATAAACTTTATTACAATCTTTTTTTAGGCAAGTTTAATAGCATCCTACAATTGTAGACAGCATCTCTGATGCCATTACTAATTTGTTTATCACATTTCAAGCCAATTTAACAGATCGCTACTAGTTGCCTGGATAGATTGACAAATTGCCGCAGAAATCTGAGTGTTCCATTCTCCAGTCTGAGAGTTTGGTTACTCTGACCCGTGCAACTATGATATATAGAACAGCGAGTGAGGTAAAGAGAATGACACTATTTGACAGGCGAGAACAGTTCTCATGAATCTTGAACTCTGCAGCGACTGACGGCCCTATACTGCAATTAATTTGTGTACATGTTATACAAATGGTATCAGAATCACTGCCATGCCGACAATATGCAAATTTTTATTAGCAGCCATCAAATGAAAACAAAGGACAGAATCAGGGGTGTCACATGACGCGATTGGTCTTTTCCCCCCATCATCAGGTAGAAAAACGCAAATTTCGACCAGTAAAGTTGTTAATACTGGCAGTTTTATTTTAAATGCTTAATAAAGGTCGACTGCAGTCTTTTTGAACAGCGCTTTCACATGTGATTCCCCTGGACAGAATAATTTTGTATGTACTAATTCTGTGTGTAAGATTAGAAAAATCTGCCCACGAGAGGAGCTTAAACTTGTGCATTATCAGACTTTAGGCATATGTGCGATATATTCTGTCCTCTGTTATGTGAATACAAATAACACGTCACACTGAACATAATAGGAGAGTACAATCAATCAAAACACAAAAAATGTGGTATCAGGAAATATTTATTAATAAACACATTATTTCCGCACAAATGGTTTGTTCTCTACTTCTTCTTGCCTGGCAATAGTATACCATCATACTGTTGAGATAAAAGAAGAAATAAATTTAGTAGTCATGATAGGTAGCCATAATCATTTCCTAACCACTATAGAAAAGACTAGATTCTCAGATCCATTATCCAAACAAGAAATCTAGCAGTCACTATAGGATAGGATTCCAAAACAAATATGAACAAGTGAACAGATGGGCTTATCAGTGTTCTGTGAGCAGAGAAACTTTCATCAACTAGAAAGAAATACCCTTGAAGATCCACATTCCAGACTTGAACAAGAGGCCTGTCGATTAGACTCCTTATTTGGCGATTTCTTTATGAGGCTTGTTGAAAAGACTGGGTACGAGCGATAGCATTCAAATAAAATTGATAATTTGTTGCAACTTGTGTCAGTACATTAAGGGTACAAGGTTATATGGTGCATATTTTGCCATAACATAAGTACATGGCATATAACCACATCAATTTTTAACTTTTTCACCACCAGATCCCTTCTTTTCATCACAAACTTACAAAATTGGCCTGTTTATAGTATGCACTTTCCTTCGGAAGACTGGGACAAAGATAGGCCATATTTTGAATAAAAACTGAAAATTTACTATGCCCATTTGCTCCAAAATTAGGGTTCATTTCCTGAAATATTGAAGAATGCAAGAAAGTGCCGAATAATTTGGGCGAGAAAATCTGGTGGTGAAAAGGTTGAGGGCTAATTGGCCATTCAAGACAGGTATGGTAAAAATTGCAACATTGTTGGCTGGGAAACAAATAAGTGAAATTAATGTGTAGCAACAATTTAAAGCCCCAATGTTAGGGGTGACCCGATCACAAGATAATCCTAGTTTATTGGTTGTGTGGTTCCAGTTTGTCTATTTTGATATTTTATAGACCAAATCTCCAGACATGGGAAATTACCACAATTGTGATAAAAAACAAAATCATTGCTCTAATATTCAGTTATGTATCTATGTAGTGACCTGTAAACCGATGACAAACAATTGATCTAAACTTAATGGGAGGGGAGGGGGCGTTTACAACAGCCAGACTTGCTTTGTCAGGGTACATATTAAACCCAATATGCACCTTAATAGGTCACATGACAAGGATGGGTATAAATATCAAATAAAACATGCCTTCTGTTGGAACCATTTCATGGACTCATCTTTCGTCACTCTGTGGTTTCTTCCAATAGTTCCCTTCTTATTTCTTCTGTCCTTCACATTAAAACCTGGTCTTCCCAACACGATGTAGAAATCCATACCATAGATGCCAATACCAGGGTCATACTTGATACCCAAGTCAATGTGTTCTTGAATACCAAATCCAAAATTACCGGACTCAGAGAAGTTGTTTTTCCTTAATTCATATTCTCTTACCTGGAGAAAATAATTCAGAATTTAACTTGTAGAGAACAACAATTTTAAGTCAATCACAATATTTTACTAAATTAAGGTATTGACAATATACTTTTTTTTTTAATTTCACTCAGACTTGGTAAACATAGGGCCACATTTGCTTGTAGCATCAGCTTAAATAGTGTCTTCATTGTGAGTGTTCATTTTTCTAGCGAATCCATGAAATACATTTACTGTGACGTGTATAAATATGGATTATAGGTGAAAGCTGAAAGGAGCGACTTAATGTCAATCCCAAGAATTGGCCTAGCATGCCAAGAAATAGTTGAAACATCTTCAAACGTTACACCATTAAAGGAAGCATTAAACCCCACTCTCAAAACTCAGTTGGAATGCTGCTAATACTTACTCTCAATCCCCTTTCTAAAATCTCTTCAGCCTTCTCCCCTCGTACTGTGCAGTGAACAGCTATCTTTTCATTTCTTCTGATACCAAAAGATCGCACTGTGTAACGAGCTGGGAAAATATAAAACACAAAAAGATCATATTAGACTAAGACTGAAAGTGCATCACATGCTGACATCACTTCTCACAGCTAATAGTTTATAATAGATATAATATATCATTGAACACCAAAGAAATTTGGTAATTTAGTAATAATGCTATAATATCAATTGTTCTTTTTAATCAATAGTTCACTGTACCCCAAACAAAAAACCCATAGAATTAAGACAAGGTAATGTCGTCAATGTTCATATTGCGTACCTTTTGAGAAAACTGGTGTTTGTCCAGTAAGCTGTTCTAACACTTTGGCGGCTCGTGTGAGTCTGTCACCACTTTCACCAACACAGATATTGAGACAAAGTTTGCGAATACGCAGCTCACGCATAGGGTTGATCTTCTTCTTCTCCTGTTCCTGAAATCATTGAGAATAATTTTCCTCACATCAACAGAGAGTCATCACAAAAGACTTGCCTATACCACTCACATAAAAAGATGCATACATGTGAAAGGTAATTATCATTCACAATTCAAACCATTTTGTAGATAATTAATAGCATAGCTCCCCTGATGCATGGTTAGTAACACAGGAAATAATACTGACAGTGGAAATGGCCGAGGTGGTAATAAAGACATGTTTTGTGGCAATACATAATCAGACAAAAACAAGGACTGTTTTGTTTTTATTTGCAATAGTGTAGTTGAGAATTTTTGAAACTGGTATTTTAGATGCTAGTTGTTGCATTGCATCACTATACAGTTCATTCAAAGCACTAATCGTTGCATCGCGGCCTGTTCTACATGGGACTCATAACGTCAATATAATGAACGAGATGCCAGATGAAAAACTAATTTTAGATTCCCATAACATGCTTTCAAAAATAGAATAGGTATGTAGGGATTTTTTAATTTTTATGTACTTTTTTTTATATAACAGTTATGACAGTTTCATTTTCTTTCTTGCAGATCTGAGTGTCATAAATGATATTTAAAGTTTACATTTTAACATTGTTTACATTTACCCAGTTTTGCAAAATTTTGAATTTCTGTAAAATCACATTCAAAGCCTGGCACAATTTTGCGACATTTTCTTAATTAGGCTAAAAACCATTTAGGATCGGGCAGTAAAAACATGGTAGTTCGTGTTATAGTAAACACATTAAATACATTACGGTATGTAAACGAGTACCTGCTTTTTAACAACTCTCTGAAAATTGTAAACATTGGTGATTTTGTGAGGCTCTTCAGCAGCAGTAGATAAAGACATTGTCGCTTTTAATTCCTGTACAAGGGTAGAATAGTTCTGTGCATACATTTATGATTTCATTCTCAACATCCGACTTTGATACAAGCAATGATCGTTTCATTGAAAAGCATCCAGAAACGTCACATGTTGTTGCAGGCCAAGGATTGAACTGCATGAAGGCATCAAAGATAAATTACTTTGATAGCCAAAAAGAAACCTGGTATGTTTTGATGCCCGTTAAAAGATAAAGATTTTATATATACGTCAAGACCATTTTATCCAATTTTGTCTTGAAGTTCAAGCCCTAATCGTCTATCGAGATACATTCCTCTGACTTGATTGTCAGAGGAATTCTATATTACTTAAATGTTATTAGACTCGAGAGGGAGAAGGCAGAGAATTAATACAGATAAATGCGTTTATCACGTAGTCAATAATTTTTGACTTACTAGTCTCAGTCGAAAGCCAATGATCTCCAAAACCAGGGCTTTAAATAGTAGTGACCAATTTCATCTTTTAGCGTAATCCGAACAACAACACCTGATGTTATCGTGTCATGTGTGGAATAGAAACATCTTTACTCGTAGCTTTTTACGAGCAGTTTATTGCACCTGGTTTGATGTTTTTTCGGGTAAAAATTATCCAAAGACGAAGATTAATTAATTTAGATTTGAGTTACTTATTTCAGGTGGTCATTTAGGAATTTCAAACGGTGGATGACGTTCGATTTTACGGAGAAGGGGATCCACACAATACTCACCGCCATTTTGGATGTTGAAAGAGATCGAAATGCATTCTGGGAATAACCAACTTCCTGTGTCCGGACAATGTCTTTCGACGATGAACTTCAAATTTTAACTCGATTTTGCAATCCTTGGTCATACTATATACACAAAAAAATTATTAAAACAACTGTATTTTCGATTTTGATTCAAACTTTGTTTTTATAAGAACACTAAGTCACTTTTACACGCTCAATGCATATATCACTTGAGGGCGTAATGGTAGCAATGCCAAGTGAGTTAGGGGTCCCTGGCGCTTAGCAACAAACAGCAAAATAGAACTATCCTGTACGGAAGTGGCCTTCATATTTTAGGGAATTAACTCGTTTTCCATCTGAATTCGGTAAACAATGAGTACTCACGAAGAAGAAGATGATACAGGGCCATCTGTAGACTCAACTGACCCTGAAGTGCGTATCGCAGCTCGCCGGCTTAGGATAATAAAACGCACAGAGCTGGCTCACAGGTAAGTCGGACTGTACTGTAAACACTGGACTGACCCTCACTGTGACCCAAGGGGCCTGAACGGTGCGTGATGGTGTATATAGGGGGATTGGAAGCTGAACCTGTGTGGAGTGTCATAGTTTACTCGTTAATCTTCCCCGCACTCGATGCGGTAAATGCATATTATTATTCTCCGCCTATTACTATGTGTTCTCATGTAACCTTTCCGATACCCATACACACACCCCATAATATCCATGTGTAATAGAATGTGCACATACTCGTACATGTATAACATTATATATGATCAATATGCTGGTTGTTACCCAAACACATTTAGATACAAGCTGCGAAGAGTTTAATGGTAAAAACAAAACAAGCAGGAGTATTTATGTCATAATGAAATACAATTATTTAATAGTACATAGCAATAATATGGTAATGACAACAACAAACTGACCTAAATAGATTATAATAATAGATTATAATAATAGATTATAATAATCTATTTATGAGGTTATTAGTCCCTGCTTTTTTTCGGCGTCTGTGTTTATTTATTTATTTATTTATTAACACACAACATCCCCCAGAGGGGATGAAAAGGATTACAAATCAGATATTAGTAAAAGAAAAATAACTACATAAAAAGTAAGGGAACAAAAAAGCCTTAAAAAAAAGATAAAAATTTGTATACAAGGAATGTGTTACTGGTTTAGTTTATGTAGGTGCTGCTGTCTTGTATTAACACAGTTTTTTATATATTGTGCTAAAGGAATTGACATTTTCTCGTCACTTAGTAATGATATGAATTTATTTTCATTACTAAATTTGTCAAAATTTGGTATACATTTATTAGTTACAATGTAAAGTTTTAATCTTATTTCATTGTAATGAGGACAATTTATGACAAAATGTTGTTCATCTTCAACATGGTCATTGTCGCACATATTGCAGACTCTGTCTTTAAAATCCAATCCTGTATGCCGGCCTGTTTCAATTTTCAGACAGTGGTTGCCAAGTCTAAATTTTGTTAAGGATTTGCGAAGTTCACTGTTTTTCATAAGTGTTAAGTAGTTTTCTTGTTCTATTTTGGTTTTAAAAAAGTTTGTAGGTTCTTAGTTCATTTTTAGAATTTGATTTTTTCCTATTGTCATTATTTATCATTTATGTGCGCCCGGATATATATCTTTAGACATGCCTGGACGATTACATTCAAACTTCACACAAACATAATAATTAATATTATTATACATCTGTCAATCGTAAAGTTACAGCGTGACGCAATTTTGGGCTATTGCAATGGGTATAAGCGTCCTCTAATAATAAAAACAAACATGGCACCCGCAGGGTTTGACTGGACCCTATACAAAGAAGTTCACTCAATCTGTTCTAAACTTTTTGTATTTCGGCATTCCAATGATGTATTCTTGAAAGGAAAAGATGGATAATAATAAGGTTATTACATGGACATGCTGTGTGTCGGTCGATACTCACACTGTCTTTGTGCATACTTTTCGTTATCCTCGTAATAACTCATATTATACATATGCACATCGATTTGTTTCCATTTTTGTGCTAAAAATGATCAAAATGAAGCATTTCTGGCATTCCAGAGACTAGATCTTGGCTGTTTAGAGATGGATTTTGTTCAAACTTGGTACATACTTTAGACATTATGGATCTCTGATGCACATCATTTTTGACTCCCGTGTGCGAAGCACAAAAGGGAGTCTTTGCAGTTACCCTGTCTGTATGTCTGTA